GGGCTTTCAGTGACGATCCCACCCTGTATATGTAAGGTTGCTTATGAATACTATAGAATAAATACCTTCCGGATGACCTCCGTGTATTGATTGTCTCGGGTCTGGGTATTACATTACCATCGTTTATTTTAGATTTGCATAACTCAAAGTTTTAAGCTACGACGGTGGATTGAAAAGTTCGCGGCCCCAGCAAGAAAACAATATGAAAATATAGTTGGTCCTCCACCTACAAGGTGTTTTTTACCTGACCCGAGCAAAATATGTGATGTTGTTTAAAATTGAAGATAGTTATTATGTTTGATCAGTTTTGCATTCACAATTCTATTTACTCAAAAATATTCTTAATTTAAAATGCTGAAAAATTTTTTGGGCTTTGTCCCTGGTACTCTGAGATGGGACTTACATGATCACTCGCATGGTCGTTCGCAATCCGGGCGACTGCTCTAACCACAGAGCTACCTAGGACCTAACAGGACTGACGAATCTTTCAAGCACTTGTTACTTTTCGCTACTACAGAGCGTACTTTCATCAATGTTCAGGCAATTCACCCAAAATGCCGACCAAAAAATTTTTGTTATGCAAAAAAATAAACTTTCTAACTCTTAATCGTAACTAATATCGTGGATGCAGTATACTACTTTTCATATTTTCTATATAGTCCTCTTCCCCAACAATTTTTATTAAAAAGGTACACTTAACATGTTTTGCAATGAGAAACAGTACGGGGTTTAAAAGATAATTTATGCTGGCTACCAGAAAAACTACGCTCTCGAAATTAATAAATCCCAAGAATAAACCTTCACTTTGACATCAAGCTTATGAGGTTGGTTTGCCATGAGTTGTGATATTTTTGTAACTTACCTGTTTTACCAGAGAAGAGGTACTTTTTAAATTATCCTTACTAATCATAGAAAAGCGAAAGTAACTCGGTCTGAAACCATTTAGATAAAATTTGGTACGAAAATTTATATACTAAACAAGATATAATTACATATAAATTATGATAAACTTAATAATTAAGATGAAATTCACTTCAACAAGTTAGTTTGATCTCATACTATTAATTACAAAGTATTTGAAGTTGTTCTAACAAAAATAACAGATTTAATAACGGATAACGGACATATCGAATTTACTATCCATCGATAATTGACCGCAACAAGACTAAAATTTTAGTACCTTATAGTATATTACGCTTTTTTACCGGACTACGGCGAAGCATAAAGGAGGGTTATGAGTTTGGCCGGTATGTGTGTATGTAAGAATGTTCATCTGTTCCCTTATAACTTCGAAACTACTCATCGTAGCTGGACAAATGAGATATCATTAGAAGCGTCTTAGTTGTCCGCGTGCTATACGCTATGTAACTTTACATTAAAATGGCAACAGCGACCTGTAGAGAGCATAAAGTAAGAAACTAAAAAAATATATTATTCAATCACTCCATATAGGGTACCAAATGAAAAGGCTTAAATACAACCGAAAATTAATTGAATAAAAAAGTTCAAATCTATCATAATATAGCTATCGCTATAAAATAAAATTCTTGTTTCAAAATTTATAGAGCGTGTTTTACTTGTAGTTTTAGTTTATAGAACTTTTTTTTAGCGGCTCTATTCCATTGTCAATCTGACGTCATCTCTTTACATAACCCACCGTTTAGATAGTTTCACCTTCCTCTGATTATACTGTCATATGCATATAATCTCTTTTTATTACTTATCGTAAACTTCTTTCTGTCTAACGTAAAAATAAAAAGTATGCAATAACATAATACCAACTTAGACTATTCTCGCCAATTTGTTGTAGAGCTTAAAATTGTAAGCTCTGTAAGTAATTCGAGTACATATTCAGTATTTCCAATTTATAAATGTAAGTGGAAGGTTTTCGTTTCATTCCTATCGCCTTCGCCATAACAACGGTGCCATCGTGTACACAATTAAAATGGCAAAGTAAATAAACATCTTTAAAAATCGTCGGAAAAATGTAGGTGGAAATTTTATAAAGTGGACGATGCTGAAAGTAAGCAGACAGTGATAGTTAAGTGCTTAATGTATCCATGGAGGGCCCGACCGTCCCAGCTTGGAAATTGAAATTGCTTAACGGGTGCTTCCACTGACGAGACAAAACATACAAAATAATCTCAATGTGATCTCAAGAATAATATGAAATATGTTGGAAATGGTTACACGATTATAAACAACAAGTAAGTATGTTTTGTTTTAAAACAAATTGTAAGTATATTTTTTTTGCAAATTTTACTTGTCATTTATAATATATGGATAACAGGAACCTCAGAAGAAGAAACTTATAAGAGGAGGTCCTGCCGGTGCATCGTGTGACATCACATTTCAATAATCTAAACGTCAACATCTTTGTTGCAATCAGTAGGTACTCTAATGGTGGGTTCAGCAGTAGCTCGGGATGGCGCAATGAAATCCTGGTATAATTCTTTAACCTCTTGATTGTATTTTCAAATAATATACATGAAATCATAATTAAATTCTAAGATATTCACTCTATGCCGGTCTCGATCAGAAAGCAAGATTATCAACCAACAAAATACGAACACGCGAATTCGAATACGGAAAAGTAATAATTCAAAATATTAACGGTCAGCATTGACCATAAATCGTCCGGAGAGTAAACATACATATAGTAATGTGCAGGACGTTACAGTACTTATGCTTATTGAAATGTGACGTCTTGAAATGCCAAGTGACTGACTATTTTCGCGGGTCAAATTATGAATAATAATAGGTTTTCTTTTAGACTATAAATTTTTTTTGAAGAAAACTCAATTCTGGTAGTTGTTTGATATTTATCATATGAAAGTTGTAAAATACTTTTCCCAAAACAGTCAAGTAACCAATTGTTTCATGTGTAGGTATGCTGCTGGCGTGTCCTATGAATCAACAAATAAATGTCTGCAAGGCACATCAAAACTATATTGGAGAACAAGAAAGGGGTAACTAAACAATGAAGTTTAATGTTTCACGTCAGTACTGATGATAAAAACAGAGATACAAAATCGTTCCATAGGCACATTTAACGATGACAAATCAACATTATAACTATTTACGACATAAAAATTTGGTGCCTTCACATCCAGTATTACTTAGTAAACTTTTTTTACATAATAGCTGCCTAGTAAAAAACAACTCGTATATTTCAGAAATATTTATATTCCTTAAAATTGTATATAATATAATTATTATTAGCTGAATAAAAACTAAAAGTTCAATATCACATACGTAAATTTTAGTACAATAAAAATATGAATTTATAGTCAAATATTTGGCTGTTTCTATGAAATATCACCTTAAACAAAGTCTACTTTATGAGAGTTATTCAGTTTTAATATTTTGCAGTGAAATGAGCTCTAATAGCGAACGCTTATGGCAAAAACTTTCGCTTATATTCTCTATATTATATTGTGATATTTTTGTTTTAAAATAATAATTAAAAGTTCAGATAATTGAAATAGAACTATTAAAAGTAGAATTTGTTAAACTTTGTAATGAATAGTATATAGTGAGTTTATATTATTAATTATTAACATTTATTTCAATGAATTAATGCATTTTAATTGTTATTGTGTTAATGTTTTCTTCATTTTTACACCTTTTACACAATTCCAGGTAAATATAATATAAATATTTCAGAATAAGAGCGATGTAAATCATTGAATAATCATATAACTCATAAAATAAGCAGAATAAATATAAAAAAAATAAGACTAAAAGGGAAAACGAGGCGAAATAAACGCGCCTGTGAGTGTCGGAAGATAGCGTATTGTGCCATTATATTGTGATAATTTTCCGTCCTTCGGTTATATATAAAGTGATTAACATGTTTATTAATATTCCTTATAATTACGGACAATAATTACAAGATGAATTTAAAAAAATATCTTTAATTATTTCCTATCCGAATATTTGTTGCAGGGCATCGTTGCACGAATTTTAGCGCACTGCGCGCTGGTACTTAAGGTTAATTTTAATTAATTGCTATCGAGATTTTTTTTGTTCATATTTAACCCTTTCAGTGCCCTTATATAATTAAACAAAATCAAAATATTAAGGTTAGTCAAATCCACGCGGATGTAGAAGTCAAATGCGTAACTCCTGCAGAGTTGACATTGACAGCCCTAGTTGCAGCCCAGATTAGTAAATATTATCATACAAGCCTAATTTGAAAAACTTCCAATTCGTCGCGCATTTCGTCGGTCACGGTAAAAATCTGTCGAAATGGAATTCTGTCCGACTTATGTACCTAGCACTGATTGCACAAAGTAACCAATCAGATACGCAGGGAAGTAGACCCGGTACTTCTAACGAATAAAGATGCAGTGTCAATTGCGATACAAACGCCTCTAAGATTAAAACACCACTCTATATGAATGTTAATTTTTTTTTTAATATCATGTAATTTTTTTTATAAATAAATTTGGTGTTGATATTTTTGTAACTAGTTTGATTGAATACTTTGATAAAAAATCATAAATACTTTTATTCTTAACGGAAATTGATTATAAAATCCAATTTGTCCCTAACACTCTGTATTTTTATATATTTTTTATTATATATAAATATTTTTCAGCATACCATTGTGTATGCAAAATTGATGAAATATTACTTATAATAATAACTACTTTTAAAATCACCGATGGATAAAAACATTTGCGTTGAAACCAGTGGCGTTTGAAGCCCGTGGCAAATTCATCGGATATTCATTTTTTTTTTACTATTTGCGTAATTATAAATGTCAGGAGTAAGGAGTCTCCTCTAATCGGCAGCCCCTTCCAGCTGGGGGCCCGTGACATTTTGACGACTTGTTACTCTGTAGTTACGCCACTGGTTAAAACTCCAAGTACTCACATAACCATTTCTCACTTGTTCCTAATTTTTTTCAAAATTATACTAAACTACCTAAACATATTAAGAGTAAGAAGTCCTTTCAAAATCAGCGAACATTTTATTTTTGGAAAGAAAGAAGCTCTTTTAGTATATTTCGTGGCGTAGGATACGTTCCTATTTTATTTCATGATGGCATTTTTATTCTAGAGTACGATTTTTTTTGCGGATGTCGCTTTAAGATTTTAAATAAATGTTTTTGTTTGGGAATATACAGGGAAAGGAATAATGAAAAAAAATATTTAAAAAACTTTCTTTATTCTCTTATACTTAGGTAGACATCTCTCCATTTGTTTTGTTATTAAATGACTAAGAATTATTGAGTATTGCAATCGTAATTTTCTTTTCGCTTGTTTCACAATATTGTTTGTAATATTATTTTCTGCATACAAAAAGTCAAATACTGAATATGAATAATAATAGAAAAGGTACATAAATGCTGAAAAGAACATAACAGTTCCGAGTAAATACAACTGGATAAGCACTAAGCATTCATTAACAACTGGACATATAGGGTAATGATGAGCTCTAGCTTCCGTTAGTCTTAACTTTCAGGAATGAAAAGACTGAAATTGTCTTGTTTTTCTTTATGATCTAGCTCCTTTAAATTGGTATATTTCTCCGTCTTTCTTTTGGCGCGAAATTCTCTTTATGTTCAAATACCAATTCGAAAGGTGTCCTGACGTATACACCTATATTAGTATTCATTTGCCATTGCACAAAATGGCAACCCAGTGACCATTTACTACTACCCGTCACATCTAACCATTCTTTTAAAAGTATATACGCTCTATCTTTCCAATTGGTTGTTAGATCATTTAGATCGTTCTTATCAATCGTTACCATTATTTTTACCCCGAGTATATTTTGAATGATATCGCTTATTTCATTTAGGTACAAAGTTTCATACGTCATAAGTTCCAGCGGTACTCCGAAATCGGTAAATATTTTGAGCAATTCCGTGGCGATATATTGCTTATCCGAACCGATCACTGGTCGTAAATGTACAAAAGAAGTCATTCTATCGACTAATAATATTATTTTATCAAATGGAGGATCGGGCTGCGATTCCATACATAAAGTGTACACTTGACATTTCTTATTGAACTGTATAGGGTTGCTTATAGGATGAATTACATCACGGCATACTGTACATGCTTGTACTAAAGTCGCGAAACATATTTCACTAATAACATACTTTTCTGATACTTTCTCGTAATTAGACTGCCAATTCTTGTTGTGCCCTTCCTTTCTATGTACATCAAGTATTATATCGAAACAGTTGTCCCAAGTTATGATTTCTAAACCATTCTTGAACAGTTTGCGTTCACCTTTAATTACTGTTGTACTGTATATTCTATGTAATACTTCATGCATATCTTCTAAAAGTATATCTTCTATGCAGGCGTTAATAGTTTTTTTCGTCCAAATTTGAATTTGTTCCGAGGGTATTTTCTTATCGTTCTCTGAAATTATATCATTCATTTGTACATAGAAATCAAATTTTGTTTTGTCGTAATCAAAAAAGGTGGATTTTTTATCTTGGCTCTCATAAAATTTACTTCGTAGGGTCGTCATTTTGTTTTGGCGTGTTATTACGTACTCGGTACGCTTGCACCTCGCGAGTGACAAACTCAAACACTAATCTAAACTGGCTCACTACACTAGCTCGGTGACCGAGCCGGAGCGCGGAGTGGGCGGGTAGAGGGGCCCCGCTCGACGGTGCTTGCCGCCTCTCTCCCCCCTTGACTCCCCCGTCTCTCCCCGCTTGTTTACCCTGCCCCTACAACGCCATGCATGTCTCACTTTCGATGCCAGAATATTTGTGAAATAATTAAGTAGCGGATATCATTAAAATAACTTTATTCTGCGTTCATTGTATTTATCATATCGACGCTGGAAAGCAAACACGTAGTAACCTGCAAAACGAAATTGGATATTTAGAATGGAAAATCTTTATATTTTTCCAAGAAAAAATATCTTCTTTCCGTATAAATTGACAAAGGAACACCTAATTTATTACCATGAACGTTTATAGGAATTATTTATCGAAAAAAATTAAAGTTTTTCTGCTCTAAAGAACAATTTTGGTTTTGCGGGTTACTACGTGTTTGCTTTCCAGCGTCGATATATAGAATGACATCGTGCATTAAATATTATAAAATTAAACTAATAGCAATGTTAGGTTAATTAATTTACATTTTTATTTTACATTATTTTTTAGAAATTACTTAGTGACAGGACGAGGAAAACTTAAATTTTTAATAATATTTTTATATTTCTGCATGGGTTTTGCTTTCGCATCGGGTATTGAATGGAATGATACCTATTATTAAACTATTATTAGTGTATTTTTTTTGTATACGTCAAGATAAATTCGTTATTGTGCCTGGTACGAGGGTCAAACTGAAAGTTCTTAGAAAATCAAAAACTGATTACATTAGCCAGTTATTAGTTTTATTATATCTTTTCAAAATATTGTCCATTCACGTCAATACACCGCTGCATGCGATGGAACCACTGGGAAAAGCACTTTGCCCACTCGTCCTTAGGGGTCTCTTCAATGGCATCGCGATACGCAGCCACCGCTTCTTCAGCATTCATAAACCGCTTTCCTTTAAGTTTTTCTTTAATTTTTGGAAATAAATAAAAATCACAAGGCGCGAGGTCGGGGCTATACGGCGGGTGACCCAGTAATTCAACGTTTGATGTCGCCAAATAGTCGATCGTTCGCTTGGCGGTGTGCGACGAGGCGTTGTCGTGGTGAAGGAGGATCCTACTGCGAGGTCGTTTCTCTCGAACTTTTTCCAAGACAAGTGGCAAACAATTGGTAGTGTACCATTCTGCAGAAACTGTTTTTTGATCCTCTAACACAATTGTTGCAAAATGACCTATCCTTCCAAAGAACGAGGCCACCATTTTTTTTCCCGCACTTCGATCTCTCTTCACTTTAGTTGGCAACTCCTCGAAAGGAAACACCCACTGAGCAGATTGTCTTTTGGTTTTAGGATCATAACAGTAAATCCAGCTTTCGTCACCTGTTAGTATGTCGAACACAGCATTTGAGTCACCTCCGTTAAATCTTTCAATCATTTTACGACACCAATCCACACGATGGAGTTTTTGAACCTCAGTCAAATTATGAGGTATCCACCGGGCGCAAAGCTTCCTGACCGCTAAATGTTCGTGGAGGATTTTGTGCACTTGACTCATACCGATGCCTAAGCTTGTCCGAATCTGTTGATAGGTCACTCTTTTGTCAGTCTCTATCATACGCCGCACAACACAGATGTTATCTTCAGTCGTCGCCGTAGAAGTCCGTCCCTCACGTAAATCATCAGTGAGATTAGTGCGACCACGTTTAAACTCATTAAACCAGTTGTAAACAGTCGCACGAGATGGGGCTTCATCGTGAAAGGCCAATCGTAGTCTATCATAACTTTCTTGTTGACTTAAATGACATCGAAAGTCATAAAAAATCATTGCACGAAAATTTTCTCGTGTTAAATTCATGATGACGTGACACAGACAATTTTCAATTTGCCGCCAAATCGTAAAACAAATGACAAATGAATGAAATATATACTCAGTAATATTGGCAAAGAGTTATATTTTCAAATTTTAGAATTATTTTTTTATTATATTGTTTATAAGTGGCCAGTTCTAAGAACTTTCAGTTTGACCCTCGTACCATGATTAGGGTTGCCAACGTTTCTTCAGCGATATACTTATAGTATTTTTTAGAATAAGCTATATGTATAAAGTACAGTACACTCAAAAAATATAGTACGTACCAGTTATCTGTACTTATAAAATATAGCATTAATAGCATACATACCCAGCCCGTGACCGACCCTTGCGAAAGTTGCTTAACGACAACGATCGCGGGCCGCGGCGCTTATCCACTACGCTACCGAGCCACTACTTTTGGTCTGATGAATTACCTGAATTATAAAAAAAATATCAATATCTAAACAATTCAAGAAAAACTAAAACAATATATTAGTACTCATGTTTGTTTGGAACTGATTTTTTTGTCTTACGTAATAGATTTATGTGCATAAATTGTTTCGAAAAATATAAAATGTCACATATATATTTTTTTAATTATACAATTTAAAAGCTCATTTTTTCATAATCAAACAGTTCTGTCTTTCTTTCGTCATTTCGATGTATTAACAGTTATTATTCTTGCCGTGAATGCTGAACTAATGGGAAAAGGAATGAAATTATTTTACATAAATATTTTATCTTTATCATTTCAGAGTAAATATGGTTCGTCTCCATACAAAATTTTTCATGGAAAAGCATTTCTAATATTACAAATGCATTAATTTATAAGAAAAATTGAAGTATAAGTCTAAAACGAATATGTGTACGCTAAAGGATTGTTCATAAAATGAAGAATTATTTATTGTGTTAGTTTTCGATGCTGAAAATATAGTATTTTTGCGTACTATATATTTTTAATAGTATATAGTACACAGACCCAAAATATAGTACAATGATGTATACTTTTTTATTCATCATCATCATATCAGCCGAAATAAGTCCACTGTCGGACAAAAATCATCACGTTGATCGCTTGCGGCCTTGTTACTTTACTAAATGAATATATTTTTAAGCTAAATCTTTAAAAAAAGTCTGGGCAGCTTAGTGATTAGAGCTGGGTTTGAGTCACATCTCAATCCGATTCACAATTAAATTTTTCAGTATTTTCACTGGGAATGCAAAATTGAACAAATATAATTAAAAAAAAATATTAATAATTATTTTTGTAATAATATACGTTACCTTGGATTATATTATCGATAATATGGAACCATAATGTTTAAAAATCGTCAAAATTAATATTTTAAATAAATAAATTAGAACCTTTATAAGGATTTTTTAAATTTTGGTTAAAGGTACACCTTATATATTGGTAATTAAAACTTTAACTGATCTATGAAATTGATAATACAGCAGGTAAGTATTATTAGCTGGTTGACATAGAATTTTCTTTTTGGTAATCCCATCCGATTTTTACTCAATGTTAAATTCATTGCATAATTTTGACTAGAAAGCACTCACATTGCATAATAAGGAATTTAAGAACGAAGTGATTTTACGACAAAATCAAGTTTCTGTTTATATCACAAAATACATGTACTTATAGGTTAGCCTATATATATATAGTTACTTATTTATAATGTATAATTTTAATTGATATTTTACTATTCATAAAATATTTAATTTGGTAAAAGGCTTCAGCAACTCTAATAAGCAATTATGACAGTTTTAGTCATTTTCTAATTATAGCTAGATTTTTGAACTTCATGTAAAATTCTTAAATCCATAATAGACTAACTTATTACATTTAACTAATTTTCGTTTATTTAAGAAATTTCATAATTATTAAATATAGAATTCGATAGAATTTCTTTTTATGCGTCAAGAAGAAGAAAACTATGGAATAATGTGTCACTGCAAAAGAGCTTTCTCGTTGTTTTATTTCATTACTTAATTTGAATTGTATGTATCCAATATTTATCAATAAGATAAATACTTTTTGACTTATTTTAACCATGATAATAAACTCATTGTATTTTAATGAATAAATTTTGTGTATATTAGATACCTACCTGCCTGTTTTATTTAATTTAAATAGGTAGGTACTCTTAAAATAAACATATTAATTAAAACATAAGTTATATCGATGTAAATATGTAAATACTTTTATGTTTTTACTTATTAAATTATCATGTAATATATGATGAGTCAGTTCAATGACCTTGACGTGTCAGCTGTGAAAGTCGGCCGTTTCGCCGCGGCTCGGCTGCCGCACGCCCGGGCAACTGTCTCGTTTCATATCTGTACACATTGATTGTGGCGTCTCGCTCGCTCGACGCGTTCATGTTTCCCCTCCCCCTGCGTCTTTCCTGTCCCTCGTCGGTTGCCTCTCGCCTGCATGCACCTCTCCTCAGTCTGTAGTTTGGTTCGCGTTCGTCTCGGGCGCCAGCTCTATATTCAATCGAATAAACGTTTTCAACGATATAATGACACGTAGAAGGATTAAAAACCCGCGTAAAATTGAAGATGTCGATGTTGTCTCCCAAGAAATGTTTCATAACTACATTGCGCATCTAAAAACGAAGTTTTTCGAAGACCCAGACCGTTACACCAAACCTATTACGATTAACATTGCAAATGCAATGATGGAGAGTATAAGAAGAGCTAAACAAAAACTCAAGCGTTACATGCCGTTATACGAATTTGAAACAACTTTGCTAGATTTATATGATGTTACAAATAAAAAAGATCAACAGCTAATTTTAAAACCAAAAAATCAGGGAGAACTGGAAAGGAAAGTGGTTTCGTGTGAAGAAGCATTTTCTATTATAGAAAAAATTCATAGAGATACTACTCATCACGGTAGTTGGAATACCGTTAAGAAATATTTAAATGATAAACTCGATCGATATATTTACGAAGAATCATATTGTATAAGTTTAATTATAAACTTGTGTTGTGTTTGCACACCAATTTTTAATACGAAATGCTACTTTTACGTCGCAGAATCAAGATTAGAACCAAACAATTCTTTTAAAAAAATACTTATATTAATTGATGAAGCGACCTGTTTTGTACGTTTGAGACCACTAACTTCAGGTACAGAAAATGAGGTCGCCATTGAATTGTTGAAAACATTCATGGACTTTGGGATACCTAAGAATATGATCTCTCCAGATTGTGTATTACTTGAGAAAGTGCTTCAAGTTGTAAACTCGTTGCTGCCAGATTATCCAATGCCAAAAGTATCTATCGGTACTGATCGACATGTTGACTGGAAAACGCATATTACAAATAAACTGCAGGAATGTAAGGCGGAAAGAAATACTAATAATTGGGCTATTTTATGTCATATGGTTCAATGGAATTTAAATACTGTTTCGTCCCACAGCAGGAATTCGCCCTACAGCATTGTTTTTGATCAAGACGCTCCAAAAATTCACATGAGTAAGCCCCAATCACAGACAAAAACATCCGTTCATATAAATAAAGCAGATTTCACAGAAATTACTGAAAAACCAAATGAAACAAAATTAAAATCGACAAAAAAAACGGAGCTTACCGACAAATCAAGTAAAACAAAAAGTAAACAAAGAAAAATTACTCAGAAAAAGTGTGAAAGGAAAAGAAATATAAATCTAAATCTTGCACATCAATTCAATCTTCCAATCGGTAGTATTTCTGATGATTTTATTGATTTAACTGATGATAAAATAAATATTAGTGTAGAGAGTATAACATTTGAAGATGTTGGAAATAATGAAGGTAATGATGTTTATCCATTAGTAATAAACGATGAAGGTAGTAATGAAGAAGAATCAGGATTTACCCATTGTAACAATTGTAAGAAGCCGGTACCATTAGTAATTAATAAGGAATTACCTGTTACTTCACGTGAATCAACTTTTTGCGCTGAATGTATGCAAAAGAACGCAACGAAAGAATTATTAACAAGCAAGGCAAATTAATTAAAAGATCAAATTAAAACATTTTATGTTTATAAAATATCAAATAAAAATTATGTTTAATTTTGTGAAATTTCATTTCTATCATTTTGGGGTATTCTATATCTATTGGAGTTTGATATGAAAGAACATGAGATCTTGGGTTGATAAGAAAGAATATAGTTAAATGGTTTTTTTTATATCATTATTGAGCAAATAAAATCACGTTTGTTTTGCGGAAGCCCCCTTAAATATTTATTTTATTCTGGTTTTTAGTATTTGTTGTTGAAGCGATGACAAATGACAGACAGCGAAGTCTTAGTAGTAGGGTTCCCATTTTACCCTTTACGTACGGAACCCCTTAAAGAGTAGAAATAGCATTCCGGATGTTTGCATGAAAACTACTAACGAAAATCACACGATGAAAGATACTGATAGCATGCGAAGGCTGTTGACCATTTTTTTATTAATATACCTATTGTTTGTTTGAAACTATTAAAATAAAAATAAAAAATTTATTTTAATATTAAAAATTTTGATTTTTCATATTTTTGATAAAACTATTTTACTCAACTCATTTATACCGAGTAGTCCGGTAGCGCAATGGACAAGCGCCGCGGGCCACCAAAAAAATATTATCTCGAGCTACTTTGACATATAAATCCGTTGGTCCCGGCTACACTTACAGTAGTTAATAACCGCTAATCCGCATTGGACCAGCATTAAGGGTCATGGGCAGTGGCGTAGCGTGCTTTGACGGGGCCCCGTATTTTTAAATAAATTTGTGTGAGGGCAAATGAAGGGCAATGATTTCTCACAAAAGAAAATAAATGTTTGTATAAACTCCGCGAATTTTAACATCAAAGTTAAAAAAAGTCTGTTACAGCGCACCTAGCGGTAACTACCAAGAACTACAAATCTCCATACGAATTCTTAACACGCTCACTAGTGCATCGACCCTTATTGTCAGTATCTCAAACATAGCTTTTTTATAAATTTGAGATAAAATAATATTAGTGTAGATATAAATATTAGGAATACATAAAAAGCCATTCCTTTCTTTAAAACAAAGATTGAAGACGATCTAAATTCTATTAAACAGCGAAAGTCGCACTTGTCTTCTTCAATGGCCTTTCTTTTTCTACAACAGTGAATTTTAGATGTCGCGTTTCTCCTTTGAACGCGTTGAGATAGTATGGACGTTACTTCTAACGATTTATTGTTGTATTAAAATAACATTTTATCAACCAACCAACCTTAATCTAAGGAATCTAATTGATTCACATATCAGTGTGTGTATAAGGGTGGACGTAAAAATATAATACTGTCTATATATCTCATTGACGGACGAATATGATAAATAGATAGAAAATTAAACGAATTTAATACGGGTGTAGACAGTAAACGATATTTTTTTTTGGTAGTGTTTAATATTCTATTACCGATAATCACACTTATATTCTTATTATATTTCTTAAATTAATTTAGAAAAAAACTAATATATTATACACGTTAGCACGTGACCATAAATAGTGCGTGCCGTCACACCCCTCTTACTCATATCAGAACTTAGAGAACTCAACCTTATGCATACATAGAACGATAATTCAGAGGGCCGTGACGCCATGACAGAAGTGGCATTTCACGGCCAATTTTGAAAATTAAATTTATTTTTAGTTTTCAAATTATTATATGTATGATACTTAAAACAATAGACATACCTATTTCATGTATATCTATAAAATAAAAATATAAAAAAGTTATCTATACTTACCCTATTGGTTTTAATTAATCACTCGCAAACCATTAGGTGCAAATACTTATAATAGCCATAGCTCTTGGCTACAAGGCCATCCATAATTATGTTAAACGTTTTTCATGATTTTCTAACCCTCACCCCGTCCCCCTTCTAGTGTTATATATTTTATCCTATCCATGATCATATCCACAATAGCATAACTCGAACCCTTATTTCCGCACTCGTTTCGCAGGCCGCTCGAGACAGTTTGAAATTGAAAAGAAAACTCGTAGCGGATTCTGTGAGAAATAGCTACGCTGTTGTTTTGTTATAAATATCTAGGGGGCGCTGATTGGGTGCTTTCTTTCTTTATGCTTCTTTAATCTTCGGCGATTTAGTTTTTATTAACAGTCTGTTTTTCCAGACTATTTATTTAGACAAATTACATGTTAAAGAAGAAAGACTTGATTCTTTGTTTGCATTGAGTATGCTCCGAAACTACTGGACTGAATTTAAAAATTCTTTTACTTACAGGTAATTGGATTTGCACAATTGGAAATTTAACCTATAAATTACGACGACGGTTTAAATCACACGTAAGATTCGTTGTTTGATTCAACGAAAGGTAACGTTAATAGATAATAGAGGAACAACTAATAAATTATTTAAATCATTTCTAAGATATCGAGCACAATTTGTAGAGATAGACAGTGTCAACTCTGGGAAAACCCGGGGAAATCCAAAATATTAAATCGAATATAGCATATTTAATGGGCTCTATACCCCAAGAAAGCGTTCTCGGATGTCTCCTGTTTATAATCTATGTAAATGATCTTCCAAATCAAATCAAATCAGGGGTTTTATAAAGTTGATGATTATTTTAAGGATTGCAATACATAGAATGAATAACCTTCGCTTTGTTCTATAACGACTAATTTTGTGTACAACCTATGACCTACAGACTTTGAAAGTTGTATTTATTATTGTAATAATACATATTATTTTGGTAAATGTCATTACTTATGATAAAGAGCTGATAAGTTTCTTTTGTTTGTTCTTCTTGTCAGCTAAAAGATGTCCTGAACAAGTGGTAGGGGAAATAAAAAAATTTGGGACGATTCAAAAGTGCCTGTAATAAGCTTACTTGAATGAAGATATTTTCATTTAATTTCAAATAAATGAACAAAGTATCCTTTTCGCCGATGATTTTACTGTTACACTTACATGCTCTAATACATTTGAGTTAACAGAAAAGCTTAATACTACTCTTAATAAAATTAATAACTAGCTTATACAACATAACTTGGAACTAAATATAAATAAAAGAAAATTAATACAATCAACCCCTATCAAAAACTTCCACTGCAAATTAATTATATGCATAATAAAATAAAACTGGGTACCATCTGCTTCACTTTTAGGCATTGATCTAGATACATATTTAAACTGGCAATCCCACATACAAGAGCTGACAAATAGATTGTCTTGATTTGTTTATGCTCTACAACACCTGAAAAAAGTAACAGATCTTAAAACCGCACTAACTTCTTACTACGCTTATGCACACTCCGGACTAGCTTACTCAATTATCTTATAGGGAAACTGTACTGACATCAAATATGTTTTTATTCTGCAAAAAAAAGTGCATTAGAATTTTAACTAATATAGATCAGATGGAATCATGTAGACCTCCCTTTTAGTTACATACCGTTACCGTACCGTTTTCAAAACTAAAATTAGTCACTACGGGACCTCACTGCATGGCCATTCAAATTTATAATCATATCCCGAATAGCTTAAAGGAAATAAAAGAAACTTAAAGGTTTATTGCACAGCTGAAAATATATAAAAAAATATATATAGGAACCGTTATGAGAAAAATTATTATCTATGAATAAGCAGCATCTATGTATGTATTATTTATTCAAATATTTTTGGGCGTATTAAGATTATTGTACCACTTTAAGTCCAAAAGTTTCATGATATAGTTTGATGAAACGCGATACAACTAAATAATTAAACGATAAACTTCCTACTTTTTCTTTTAGGTACACACCTCAAAAATCGGCCAAGTGTGCGTCGGACACGTGCACGAAGGGTTCCGTACCGTCAATGAAACACGCAAAAAACACCTTTAATTTATGGGAGCACAAACTATTAAACTATTCTGTATTTATTGTTATAGCGGCAATATATTTAAATACATCTGTCTAGGTGACACGGTTCATGAGGTACAACCGACAACGGAGTTTTGGTAATAGGGATGATGACTGGGTAAAAAAATGCAATTCTATTTAGTCCGTCAGTCAGATAATAGAAAAATATTAGATACGTATTTTTTTTTTTTTTACTTCAATTTAACAAGAAATAGCTTAGATAACAGGCATTAAAGTTGAGGAGTGGGGACTCGCTACGTCACAGTTGAGTAGAAAACGTACTCTAACGTGACGTCATGCGAAATTTCAACTCAATGTAACGCCGTAATTTTATGATTACGAAAAAAATAAAAAAATACGTGTTTAATATTTTTCAACACTCTACCTGACGGACAAACAAACAAAAATAAGTCATCATCCCTATTGGATAACGTTTTATATTTTGGGTACGGAACTCTAATACAGTATTTAAAATGACTCAAAATATACAGAATAATGGCAATGAATGTTAAATATGAATAAAATTAACTAATCGTATCAGATCTTCTTCCTTCCCTCTATTAAAGTAATTTACAGTCAGATGTAATACAGTTTATTCTAGTAGTCTAGTGAGATATAAAATAAAATACTCCTAGCTTTCTTCTTTTTCAGTTTCAGACGCTACGAATGGGATTCTTTTAATGTTCGTAATTAAAGAGAGTCCTCATTTAAGAGTGAAAAACTCCCGGACTTCATCTAATGTAGCATCGGGCAGTTTGTCCCGGTTGTCGGCGATAAAACTGAAATAAACCAGGAGAGGTCACGGGCAATTAAAGTTCAAAACGTGGTCCCGGCATTCAAGTGGCTACTCGTACATGCAGCCACGAAATATTTATATTATGGAGGTGTCTTTTAAAACTTATTTAAAGCAATATTATTAGTACATACACTTAAGTTAGGTCATTTTCAGTATGTAAATTAATCCCAGCTTTTGCACACTTTTTAAATAAACATATGTTTTATATATACGGACGATATCACATAAATTGATCAGATCCCAAATAAGTAGCTATAACATTTCTATTAAGGTAATCTGCAAAAAAATATGACAAACAGCTCATATTGTACATTGGATCGACTCAGAATTGAATTTTGGGACTATTTGGCGAAATGGCGACACCTTGAAACCGACGTTTGAGCCTCGTCTTTTGAAGATATAATTATGATTTCTTGAATATGTAATATATGTAAGTATGTAATCTGTCAACAGAAGTTATGTGATAAAAAGACATAAAAGTTGTCGGTTTTTTTTCTAAATACAATATTGACTATTACTACCACCCATAGGTACCTGTAGTCTTAAAAATGAAAAGAATCTAGAAAAATGTGTACACAACATGGTGTTAATATATGATTAAACAACATGGTGTTAATTTTTGTCTCATATATGAAATAAAAATGTATAGAAAATAAAAAATATAAAATTATAACTTGATATAGATATCCATTATATTTATTATTCCATTAAAATGGTCGTACCATTGAAAGCGAGGAACAGAAATCATCCGTTGCACTAACATCCATTAAGATATAATGACGCCTGTAAGCTCCAATGACGGTCAAATTTGTATCGGTAATGTCACTTTAAACTAATCACAACTTTAATGGATATTAGTGCAACTGGCTGTATGTCGAATATCATCGTCATCAGCCCTTTTAAGTCCCCACAGCAGAGGCTCAGGTTTTCCTTATATATGGTTGGCTATGACCCTCCACGCTGGCCCAATGAGG